TATTGCTTGACCATAGTGACCCGTGAGATATGAGTTGTTGACTTGGACTTGGGATGGGAAAGTCTTGGTTCATGCTATCGGATATGTTGTTGTTTATTTCCAGGCTCGCACCAGTGAATCGTTTCGCACTGGGGTGGCTCTGAGGAGCAGTGATCGGATGTGTTTATTGTTTATTTCCAGGCTCGCACCAGTGAATCGTTTCGCACTGGGGTGGGTCTGAGGTGATGTGATATTGTGATTGTTAGCGGTGATATTGTGATTATTGATTATTTCCAGGCACGCACCAGTGAATCGTTTCGCACTGGGGCGGGTCTGAGGTACTAGTGAGATGTAGTTGTTATCCAGATATCCGATAATGTGAACTTTGACTCTGTGTGAGATAGTGACCAGTGAGTTGTGATAGGATGGCTAGTTACATGACTCGTTCTTGGTTAAGTATGAGTTCTTGTGAGATATAAGCTAGTTGTGTTTCCTTTCATACATAGATCGGGATTAATATTTAATTATTTACAATTCGAGACATATGGTATATACATGAGGGTTTCCTTGTTTGGATTATTTCGCTCGACGTACTACGTCTCTTGTTGTAGATTTTTAAGTATTAATTCCATCTATTGTATGCCCCTGTTACTTGGATGATTAGACTGATCGCTAGCTACATGATCTCGTTACCTGATTGATTTTGGATGCTTTTGTTATCATGATTTAGTAGTGTTTTCATGTTGATTTGTGGATTTCAGTTGCACGTTCTTTTGTTGTTTCTGTTATCGTATCGTTTTTCGCATTGGATTTCCGTTCGTTCTATTTTCTTTGTGGGGTCGGGTCTTGCCGTGCGTCATGCACCTGACGTACACCTGTTTTCTCTGGTGTACGTCAGAATTAGGAGAAGAACAGGTTCAGCTAGGAGAGAAGAGTTGAAGCTCAGTTATTCCTTTCAGTTTATTTTCGTAGCATTTCCTTTTCTGTCTGATCATTGTATTTTATATTCTCCAGTATTTCATTCAGATAGTTGTATAAGGGCATGTTTGGCCCGAATATTATGTCTGGATGATCATTTCAGTTGTGATATGTATCTTTTGGTTCTGAGTTGTTTATTATATTCTTGTTACTGTGATCGGGGACCTGTGCCTTCGTTTGTATTTCTTGTACAAGTTTTTTATGATGCTACTATGTTATTATCTGGTTGTTATTATCCAACTATTACTTTAGCTGCTTTACAAATTTTAAATATTCAAAATTTTTTTACAAAATATCGTATGGATGATATTTTTGGAAGTATAATTTTTGAAATGGAGAGTAAATTTAATAAGTATTTTAGGCCTATTCCTCATATTTTTGGTATTGGTGTTCTTATTGATCCATGCTTGAAGGAAATTGGCCTTCGAAGTTTGTTACAATCATTGTATGGTGGACAGATTATAGACTTAGATGATGGATCCACCCTTACTGCTACTACTCATTATTTAGCTATTAGAAATTATTTTCAAACCTTATATGATGAGTATGCAGCTAGATATGGTGTAGCTACACAACAGTCTTCAGCTTCGGCACCTTCAGCTTCGAGCACAGGTCGAGGTAAAAGTGTAAGTTTTGATAGGTATGCAATGGTAGCTGAACTAACTGGTGGATCTGGAACTTCATCAGGATTAGATGTTTCTGAAATAGATGAATATTTTTCTGCTTCTTTAGTTAGATGTCAAGGAAATGCTTTAGATATTTTGCAATGGTGGAAAGTATATGGATCAGTTTCATATCCTATACTTTCCACCATGGTTCGTGACTTACTATCAGTGCAGGTTTCGACTGTAGCCTCGGAATCCGCTTTCAGCACAGCAGGACGTTTGATCGACGACCACAGGACATGCTTAGATCCGTATACTGTACAAGCGGTGATGTGCTTACAGGATTGGTGGAGATACGAGAAGCGAACACAAGGCATCGAACGGATTGCTATGATTGAAGATAAATTTGAAGAGTTAGGACTAGCAGATAGATATAATGATTAGATAATATTCATAAAATTGTAATTTTGTTTTCTTAGCTTTAAATTTGAATTAAATTATTTCGAAAAAAGTTGCAAATGATAGTGATATGGGTGAGTAGGTGCCAACCTAGTTGGGATGTACTCATCTATTGTGATGCGACGACTTTCGAAATAAATTTATACTTGTAAAGGATTTGTAAAGGATTTACCGATTATTAATAAAGAAGTTATTTTTATCATTTTTTGTACTTGTAATTTATGTCATTTCATTTCAAGCTATTAATTAAATTTATGATATTTTTTATAATAATTTATGGTTTATGGTTTTGTTAAAATTTAAAAAAAAAATTCTAAAAAAAAATCAAACCGGGCCGGCCCGGTGTCCGGCCCGCTCAGGCCCGGGCCCGGCCCGGACCACCCGGGCCCGGCCCGGACCACCCGGGCCCGGGTCCGGGCTTGGGTTTTGCCCGGCCCTGGCTAGGAGATTTATGGCTGCAGAACAATGAAAAAAGAATGGAAATGAAAAGCTTTATACTTCTTCCTATTGTATATTTTTTCATACTCTATTTTATGGTTCTCGGGCAACACATCCATTGAGCAAGAGGCTTAAGATTCGCAAGTAACCTCAAGGGTCGGCTAACCTCAGGGGTCTTTTATCGCTAGTTCACGGTTGCGTTGATATGTCTTTGTCAAGTCGGCAGTTGTTGTTCTATATTATTGGATAGTTTAATCAAAATAACTAAAAATTATAATAATCAAATATAAAAACTAAATTGGAGAAGGAAGTTGGAGGTCTGGAAGGGGATAATCGTGATGTCACTGTCTTAAAACGACAGTTACCGCATTCGTGGAGATGTATCAACGCAATCGGGAACTAATGGTAATAGCCTCCCGAGGCTAGCCGACACCTGAGTTTACTATGAATCTCAAGCCTCTTGTTCATTGGGTGCACTGCACAAAAGCATAAAGATAAAACAAAGAGAAAATATGGAAGAGATAAAAGAGAGTTTTTTATGCTCAATTTTTTTTCATTGTATATCAACAACGTACTAAGAACATGATTATATAGATGGAGAGAGCCCCTATATTTAATGATAGGATTTATGCTGACCATTACAAATTTCGTCAATAAACACACAATAAAACAAAAATCTTCATGACACTAAAAATACCAAATTAAAAAATAATAATGACTAATAGTAAATCAAATAAACTAAAAGCAACCAAAAGGAAACTCAAGTTTTTCTCTAAACATTTTTCTAACATGAGTTAGTTCGGAAAAGTTTTCTTATTACAAAATTTTGTCATAATTAAAAGTCGTTCTGTGTTCAATTTAAGCATAATAGTGTAATTCTAGATTTATCATTTTTCATCAATAAAATCTTCTCTTTTATCGATCTTCGCGGATTCGAGATTGTATTTACTTGTGGATTCAAAAATCTTCTTGGTCGACTCCCATGTTTGCTTCCTGCGGTGTCGAAGCCCAACGAAGCATCATCCACTGCCGACATTTCTTTGTATCTATTTCTTGTATTTTATGTTTCTACTTCAGAGTTCAGACTACTACTAGTTGCCTTACAATATTATAGTGACAAACTAAGGGCCTGTTTGTTTGCATTATTTGAAAGGGAAAAGCCTATCAAAGTTCTGAGAGCATCTCCAACAACTTCTCCATTTCTCATTTTTGAAGAATTTAGTTAGTTTTTTGGTCCAACAGATTCCCCATCTCATTCCCCAAAATAGGGATGGAGGAGAAAAAATGGGGAAGCTTCCCCAAATCTGCAGCATTCTCCAAAATTTTGGAGAAAAAAATGAATTCTTCAAAATGGGGAAGCTATTGGAGTTGGTGTAAAAATTAGTTGGAGAATATGATTTTTGCTTTCCCATTTTGGAGAAAATTTTGGAGAAGCTGTTGGAGATGCTCTGAAAAAGTCAGAACTTTGGCAGGCTTTTTTGCAAAATCGCCCTAAAAATCGCCTCAATTTGGGGCGATTTTGCAAGAAAGACTACAAAAATTTTAAATTTTTTTGAATTTTTGTAGGTTTTTACCCTTCAAAAATTACGTCCAAACGGACCCTAAAAGAATCTAAAGTAATAAAGTAGGTGTAAATTTATTGAGGATCAGCGTATCGCATCACCATGTAAATTTATATGAGTACAAACATTAAAGGAATCTAGGTACAACTAAAATTTAATCCCAGAAAGAAAAAAAAATTGAATTCCACCATTTACATCTTGCGGGTCCCACGGCATATAATGTGATGTTGGACGCAGCTGTGCTGCTCGACTGAATTTACTGCGCATTTAAAACCCCACCTCCCTCAACCAATTCCAACCCTTGAACAGGAAATAAATAAATGGTTCATCCAATTATTATAAAAGTTTTGACTATTTAACCCCAACATTACCATATTTGCAAATTCATTCTCCGGATCTAGCTATTCGCTAGTTTATTTATCCTTCAAGTCTAGTACTGCATTAAATTTCTGGAGTATACTAATTTTGGACTCCTGATTTTAAGATTGGTGTGGATATCTGGTCTGCTCCTTTGATGCAGATGTTTGGTTTACCCGGTGATTGTCCTTTTTATATGTATCCTCTTCTTCTTCTTCTTTGCTTCGGTATGCTTTTGTTATTTTATAGATTTTTCGTTGAATGCTTACTACTGAAACTACGGGGGTTATATGCGACCCGTCGTCTTCTCTAAGAAAAATAAGTAGCTTGAAAATTTGTATTGTTAGCTTTGAAGAGTGGAAGTGAAACATTTCAGCTAAACATCAAACACAAAAACTAGGAACATCACGGAGATTATATTGAAGGGAAAATTAGTTAATTTGCAAATTTGGTGGTTAACTTTGCAAATACGATTAATTTGGGGATGTATATTTAAAATGCCCATTATAATGCTCCCCACGTGGCCACGTTTTCTTTAATAAAAATCCAGAACATCTAGTTATTTACAGTCATCATCCTTTCCCTCTCTATAAATACAATTCACACACAAACTAGTAAGCTAGCATATACAATCTTTCCCTCACTCTAAACAACAAGAAGAAGGAGAACTCTTTTGCAATTTAATTTTTTTTTTGGGGGGGGATGGCAACAAAAGAGAACGGGAAGAAGGTGTTGCCGGAGGAGGAGCATCCTCGGAAGGCGTTTGGATGGGCTGCCAGAGACTCATCAGGCATTCTCTCTCCCTTCTCTTTTTCAAGAAGGTACCTCACTCTTTTTCCATCTTACAAAATGGCTCCCTTTCTCTTTACTTTTAAGTCCAAATTATTTTAAGCGGCTGTTGGTAAGTATGATGCAATTGTACGTGCAAGAGATGTTGTTGCGCGCACAAAATGTTGCATGAATATATCTCAAATTCGTCGTATAGATAGATATATTCATTTTTATTGTAGGAAGTATATTTCTAAATCCAAATCCAGCACTTGATTTGTTGCAAAAGTTGTTAGATTTTGCCTGTTCTTTTTCTTTTTCTTTTTCTTTTTCTTTTTTGTAGAGAATCATGTATTTCTGTGGGAAATCAAGTGAAATGTAGATCAGCTTGATCATTTTGACATAGATCATCTTGACCTATTGAAAATATAGATTTGAAATCGAATAACTTGATTACATGATATTGGTTTTTTTTCAATTAAGTAAATGACTAACAACGGTTGTAACATCCAACATTTTTTCTTCCTACAAAATATAGGAAAACACTACAGGCACACTCCCAACCAGACCTTGGGGCACACCCCCTCACTCAGCTACAGTCCACAGGGTCCACTTTAGATTTTTTTTTTAAAAAAATCTAAAGTAGACCCTGTGGACTGTAGCTGAGAGAAGGGGTATGCCCCAATGTGTGGTTGGGGTTGTGCTTGTAGCGTCATTCCTGGATTATGACTTGGAGCACTGCTGCTACAGCTAGCTTTATTTCCTGCGAAGGGGTGATAATTTTAGAAAAAAGATGATTTTGCACAAAAGATCTGTAGATAATCCATGTTTAATTATGAGATGCGTCCAGTTAAAAATTTCTTCGCATTTTTAGTCTTTGAAGAAATCTTGCACGCAACTAATTTTACTATGCAGCGCTGTCTAATTAAGTTTTTTTTTTGGAGGAGTTTCTGTGTAATGCATGCTATAGATCCCGTCGGAGAGAGGGATCGGAATGAAAGAGTTGTCATTTTTTAGTTTTGGAAGTGGTATATGTATTATGAATTTAGTTGTCTTTATTTTGACAGAAGATATGCGAAGGGGCTAGTGAAAATATCTAAAATTAACTTTCTTGTTGGTCCTCTTTTTTTTTTTTTGAAGATAAGTGTTTCATGTTCATCTCTTTAGACCATCAGCTGTCTTGTCTAGTGTGCACGATCCACTGCACGGAAACCTTTATATGTGGAAAAGGCTTTACAAGTTTCTTCACATCTGGGGGGTGGTTGTTACCCCGTTAAAACCCTGAGTAATATGAATTCCAGTTTGAACTCGACCGACGAGATGATGCATTTCCTGGGTTGATATCTTACCAACCGATGAATATTATGTGGTTCGAATATCTCGGAAAACATGGTCTTTTAAACCTACTATTTTCCTCTCCCTGCGAGTTCTGTTCGAGTGTTATTCAATTTGTGGATCAAAATTGCACTTTTACTTGCTCTGAAATCATTCGACATTTTAGTTAGTTTGCTGTTCTGGAATTAATGTAGGAGTAATGGAGCTGAAGACGTGACGATAAAGATACTGTACTGTGGTATTTGCCACTCTGACCTCCATAGCATCAAGAATGAGTGGGGAAATGCTAGGTACCCACTGGTTCCAGGGTAAGTCTCACTAAGCAATTACTCGATCCTCCTCCGTGAATGTTCTGCATCTGTTTCCTCCTCATGAATATTTTTACTTTACGCAGACACGAGATTGTTGGCGTCGTCACTGAAGTAGGAACAGATGTCAACAAGTTCAAAGTCGGAGACAAGGTGGGGGTCGGGTGCATGGTTAACTCTTGCCGCTCTTGCCACAGTTGCAAGCAAGACTCAGAGAACTACTGCCCCCAGATGATACTCACTTACAACTCCGCTGACAAAGACGGCACGATGACTTACGGTGGCTATTCCAACATGCTGGTGGTCAACGAGCACTTTGCCGTCAAAATCCCTGAGAACTTGCCATTGGATAAGGGCGCGCCTCTGTTGTGTGCCGGAATCACAGTGTATACCCCGATGAAGCTGTTCGGGCTTAATGAGCCCGGGAAGCACATTGGGGTTGTTGGGCTTGGTGGGCTCGGTCATGTTGCTGTGAAGTTTGCAAAAGCTTTTGGGATGAAGGTGACGGTGATTAGCTCGACGAAGAGTAAGGAGAAGGAGGCTATTGAAAGCTTGGGAGCTGATTCGTTTATTGTCAGTAGTAATCCTCAGCAAATACAGGTAAAAGTTGGAATAAAAACATTAGCTCGACGAAAGAGTAAGAAGATTTTGTTATTTGGTTTTGCATTCTTTCTGTAATGTTAATTAGGAATGGTCTGTGATTGCTTGAATTAAAAAAAGAAAATGAGAGCATCTAAAAATATAAAGGAGAAAAGGGAAGGAAATATGATCGAAATGAACCTGTGCTATATAGTTCATCTTCAGATTGTTTCGTGCTGAACAATAAAGAGTCGCCGTCATCCAAGCTTGCTTCACTGTTATTTTTGAGCTTCAGATCCACTTCGGATAAGGGCTTTGTCTTATTACTTGAGTAGTTACCCTGAATGTCACACAAAAAAGATTACTTTTCCTAAGTTAGTATATTACTTGGATCCTGTATGTAATAACTATCGTTTACACCTCAAAATGTTATGCTGTATCAGGCTGCGATGGGCACCATGGATGGTATAATCGACACTGTATCAGCGGTTCACGCAATAATGCCATTGATCTTTCTGCTGAAAGCACACGGTAAAATGATTCTTGTGGGTTTACCCGACAAGCCATTCGAGCTCCCCGCCTTTTCCCTGATCTTGGGTAAGTACTAAGTAACAGAATCTACACGAACACTACACTAAATATATTTCAATGACCATGAGAACCTTGAATTTGGCTATATATATATATCAGGTGGCAAAATTTTGGCTGGGAGTGCAATGGGGGGCTTGAAGGATACGCAAGAGATGATAGATTTTGCCGGCAAGCACAACATAACTGCAGATATTGAGCTTATTCAGATGGAGGACGTGAACAAGGCTATGGAGAGGCTAGCCAAAGGAGATGTCAAGTATCGCTTTGTGATCGATGTGGCCAATTCGAAGATTGATGGTTTATGCATCTGAGGAGTCAGTTTCATGGATTGCTCGATGTTGGTTGTTCTACATACTCTCTGTGAGGGGGGTGGGGGGTGGGGGGTGGGGAGTTTCTCGATATAGTCGTCGTAATGAGATGGTTATTATAATATGAATGCAGAAAGACTACTGTTGGAGTATTGTCAAAGTTTGTAATATGTATTGGAGTTTGTTTAATATACAATGTGATGAGATGCGCATTCTGTCAGGTTAAGCTTTAGGAAGAATGATCTGTTGACAGGGTATATTGTGGTTTGACATATTCTGGATTGAAATCTTGTGATTGCGACAGAAATAATTGGTGTAGACCCCCGACATCTTTGCAGAGCATTTAGTCTTGTAATCACAGAACAAATAATGGCTCATGTAAGCGCACTAGGTTGCCAGTAAGTTGCAAAAAACTGACTCAAAATCTCAGGAGATGTATATAAAGGAGTTGAAGTTTATAGAAACTGTGGTGTTTTCAGTAAGAAATGAACTATGATTTAGGAGTTTATGAGGGGAGCTAAATTAAATTCTAAATGAGATTCCAAATGGGCAGTAGAAGCTTTATCTTAAGCACTCTGAAGCGTGTATGTATCTTTTTTTGTTAATCAGACAAAGGATAAGTAGCACTTTATATATACCTAAACGATATAGCCTTCGGGGGCACCAGCCGGCCACCGGATGCAGGAACCGATAAACAAGAGCAACATCTAGCGGTCAGCCCTTCATCGAGTGTTTCCTACTCTTCCCAATCTAGTGCAAGCCACTAACATCTAGATATTAAAACACCGTAATGATTTGATACGTCATTAAGCAAGCATATATAGAAGTCAATTCTCAGAAGAAAGACGAACGGACCTTTTGCACAGTGTAGTGTAGCCACGGCGAAGATTCTCAGCATCAAAGACTTTGCTCGATTGATGCTCTATCCTTCACCCTAACTGAAACACCCTAACCGAAACTGCAGATTCGGCTGTCTTTTGGAGGTCTGTGCGGATGTTTACTGGTGTCGGCGAAGCAAGGCAGCATCCTCTGAGAGTATGATCAGCCAAGCTCCCGATATCTTTGGATGGGGTCATGGTTACTGAGCGTGAAGGATCTTTGAGGTCTCTGCTGAGGGTGAAGGCTTTGCAAAACTGCAGGGACTTCTTGTTCAATCATCAAACTCAAGCAATCCATAATCTCATTGGCTCAGTATTTGCTGCTGCATCCAATCTCACATTTGTTGAATGATCCAGATAATATTGAGAGGGGAAATCCCTACTCCCACATATGGGAGTCGAACTGGTTAAAGTTTTGGATATATGGCGCAAGATCGAAAGATTGGGAGAAGAGGGGTCCTGCTCCCCAAAGAAGTTGGAGGTCCTCATGTCCAAGTTCATCTCCATGTCAAGTTTGTTTACCTGCAAAGGGATTCACCCGATAAATTGTTCTGATCACAATCTCAGAGATCACTGCCAGGCTTTGCTGACACAGTTGAACAACTGCGCTGCTCTCCAGAGAGCTCCCATCTCTACGGGTTCAGTTCGGGAGGATAGCTCATAGGGGACTACTGCCAAGAAAGACAAATTGAGCATACCGTCAACACTCCGCACAAGTTTTATACCTCCTCCTCCTCCTCTGACTCGATCACCTATGATTGCTTGATGATATATCTATTTATCATCTAGATCCTAGTGCTAAACCCAAGGCTAGTGCTAACCCTTGGGCTCAAGTACTCAACCCCTCTGCCTAATGAAAGTATAAGGGTTTTCGCCCCCATTTTCGAACAAAGATTGTCATTTCTATGAAATAATAAAAGAGAGAACAAAGAAGAAAAAATAAAACTTGCTTGATTATAAAGAATGTATATATGCTTCTGGTTCATTGATATTTACTAGCAACACACAGTTCAAATGAGAATTCACTCTTTCTACTATCATTTGATTTGTTAGAAAGGCGTCAGCTGAAGAAAAAAAAAAAAACCCATGTGATTGCTACTTCAGCTACAACCTTCTACATACAAATTTCAGACAAAAAGTTATTGATCCGTTTTGTAGAAGTAGCATCTCATTAGTTACACCTCATATACAAAAGATATTCCGTGTAGAAAATCAATTGAATTCTCCTCCTAGCATAAATGTATATATTTGCCTATGAAGGCACAAGAACATATCACAGCATAAATGTATATACATTAAAGATCATAAACATCCCAAATGTTTGAGAAGATACTGTGAGAGGTATGAGGGGCTATCGAAATAGTCAGTAGCTGCTCAACATATGAGCTGCGAAGAAATGCGACTGATCAGATTCACCTGATCTGATCTGACTCGTAGGATGACTTTTGCCACTAGCTTATCTGTTGATCACTCATCTGGTAAAATGATAGTTTCATACGCATCTTATTTCATATATGTAATTTATTACTTTGTGAAGAAACTAAAATGCTCCGGGTTTCAACTTTAGAAACATCAAGAGAATGACATGACTACTGATTTAGAAGCTGGCGTAACAAATGGAGAAGCGACGACCACCGTAAAACAGAGAATACCTTGGCAGGAAAACATGGCGATGCCAGCAAACAGCCTGATGGTGTTAGCTCCTGAAGTTCGTTACGCGATAATGGCTGTTAATGATGGAAGTGTGGGTGACTAAGCTCTCTGAAAAACTAAACCTCATTGTGTCCCTCCCTGTCCTTTGAACAATCGAAACTCAAAACAATCCTCTCCAAAATAAGAGCTGCATACCGGCATGGTTGAGGTTAGACTTCCACCTCATATCTCGCAGCAGATCCCTCAACTTGATGTCACCGGTCAATGAACAGCAGTCCCCGGCTCAATGCGATCATGTGCTTCATCTTTAACGTCAAAACTTTCAGGACTAGTTGTGTTCATATCTGATTTTTATGTCCATGACTTTTTAAAGTGTAGATCACAATGGGTGTGAAACTTATCATAATCTCAGAGCAAACGTAACTTTTTGGAGCCAAGCAGCTCATGAGCACAGGCAGGGAGCACAGAGAATCGGGCTTTTACAGGGTAGAATAACAAAACAGGTAAAGCAGATCCTGCAGTCAATAAAAGAGAAATTTGATACTAACACTTCATATTTTATCATACGAGTTTACAGTACATATTTCATATTTTCTAAATATTTTACGAGTTTACGGAACATTAGGAATTCCAAACCACAGTAGTTTTCTTGCGGAGAGCACAAACCAAGCGGAAGTTGCACACCTCCGAACTGGCGACTACGGAGCACAGTGAGCCAAAATGAAAATAACAAGTGCAGATATGAATATTACACCCGCCATAACGAGGCGCATGATCTTCAGAACAGCAGCAGGCCACCGGATGTAGGAACCGACGAACAAGAGCAACATCATGACTGCAGTCCAAGCATGTAAACACATTACCAGGCGTGTATTGCTCCCCTTCCTTCCGAGTTTTGCTGAACCAAGTAAATACAGCACTCCGTAAGACAGCATGGATAGTAGGAACGCAAAATTTGACATGTATTCTAGCTCGTCCTCCCGATTGCCCTTCTGATCCAGTAGCGGGGTTTTATCTGCGACAGCATCCATCTTCTTGCCCTGAATGATTGATGACAAACAAGGGAAATTGAGAAGCAAATTAGCCAGCCATGGTTAAACGAGAATGTCTGCCTACAAAACAGAACACAAAAGTGACTTTTAAGTTCTCTTCCGCATGCATAAAATGAAAAGAGCGCAACGGGCTAGAAAATTTCAGTACGGGTGGGTTCTGAAATGTTTCGGTCATGAATAATGATTTAAATCTTCAATGTGATGCCTAGGTGTATAGAGCCACTCATCTTGCGTTTACACGGAGCATGGTAAACAGGATCAAAGTCATCTCGAGCTTTAGCACTTGGGAATCGAAAAAAACATGATCGATCGATTCGAGAGAACACAGTGAATTTACTGTCTGAGAGGCTCGTTCGTGGGTTTGAATCAAAATCTCTCTACCCCGACCCGTGTCATATAAACATCTCTCTCCCTCAACGCCACAAACACATCTACCACGTAATGATCACGCTAGTTTCAGAACTATCCCCCGTCGGGTTTGGAACAAAATGGCAGATCATTGATAAAGGAGGTGATAAATTGCCTTTGCCGTTTATAGTTTTCACTCGGCAAATTAATACCAACTGATTTACCAGTCTTTTTTTTAAAAAATTTTTTGCTGTGTGTTGCTCTTCAGGAACGCGGACGCAACACTAGCATCTAGGCGTTAGAATGACTTGGGTTGCACACGGATGTAGCTAGCGTTGACAGAAAGCAGGACAAGGGTCGTAAGGGTGAACAGACCTACCTTTCGCGTAGCTGGTCGATTCTCAACGTCGAAGGCTTTGTTCCGCGGCGCTCCGTCCTCCAGGTCTACTGGACCCGTGGTGGTGTTTGCGGCCCCCTGGGTATTTGATTGTTCCGGCAAGAGGATGCGGTGGTCATCGGGGGCTGACGGA